AAGGAAATCCGCGCGGACCTCCGAGAGTTTATGCTTATGCAGATCTTTGTTTTCCTGTCCGCGAAGGGCTGCCGGTCTCGGCCTCGGGAGGCCGTGTCCTGGCAGCGGGACCCAGGCAAGGGGTCGAGGTCTGCAGGGCCCAGGTGGCGAACAAATTGCGACGTGGGAGGAGAGGGTCCAGCGAGCAGTGCAAGGTGGGAGAGAAGCCAGCGCTGACGCCAACAGACGGCGAAGGGTGGTCGTTTCCCCTCCCTTCCCCTCGCTCTCGCTCCCTCTCTCTGAATCTCGTCGTCGCTGCTCTTGCATGCCTCCTCGCATCGATCGATCCGTCTGTCACTGCAGCTTTCTGGCTCGAAATGGGTGTCTTTCGGGTGAGCCAGCGCTTTGCTTGGAAGACAGATCGTATGCCCCGACTGCTGCTGCTGCAGCTGCTCTGGTAGTACCTCTTTGTGCATTAGGGGAGGCTAAAGAGAAAGAGAGGGAGAGAGAGAGAGAGAGAGAGAAAGATAAGGAGAGAAAGAGAGAGAGAGAGAGAGTGAGAAGGAGGGGAGACACGTCACCAGTTTCGGCCACCTTTCGAGCGGCCAAGTCCTGCACCATGCGAGTGAGGCACCAGCTCACCTTCCAGCTTGCCCCCTGGTCGCGGGGCACGAACCCGCCCTCCTCCTCGCTCTGGAATCGTATCCCGTGCAGGAGGGGGAGAGGAGGCCAGAGGTGGGAGGAGGCCCTGCAGTCGGACGTGTTGATCTTTCCAATCCAGGCGTTTTTCCAGCATCTCCGACGCCTGGGCCCGTTTTCGGGCGCCAAGATATGGCCAAGATGCTGAAATAAGGGCCACTCTGGGCTCAGGAGGGGCTGTTTTTTTTGGCAGTTCCTCAGGTCTGGTTCTGGAGAACCTATACTTGACGCTTCGCGTAATTATCCCCACCCGCCCATCCAGCAACGTCCCGGGCGATTTTTCTTGATCGGGGAAGCGGGGCAGCATGCAGTCGGGACAAAGAGCTGGGGAAGCCGTCAAACCGACGCCTTGGGTCAGCGTGAGCAGGCCCGTCAAGCCTTTGCGGAGCTTTCGCTCCGCGAGGCTCTTGGAAGCTTCTTGTAGCTATCTTGTAGCCATTTTAGCATCGTTACTGGTCCACTTGAAGCCGTCTTAGGGCCTCTTGGGGCTCTTTGGGGGTCTTGGTGCCCTCTTTTGGGGCGATCTTGGAGGCCATGGTTCAAAAAGAGCGAAGGCTGTTTCCGCCCCCGCCCCGCTCCCATGGACGCTGACAAATCGCCTCATCGGGCCCTCTTGAGGCGCTCTTGGGCGCCTCTTGGGTGCTCATGGGGCCCTCTTGAGGGCCTCTTGGGGCCATGTTGGGTCTGTCTTGGGCCATCTTGGGGTCATCTTGAGGCCTCAAAGGCCCATCGGAAGCGAAAAGGCGAGGAAGCAAAATCACATGGCTGTGCCGGCACTGATGACGACAATGTGAACAGTTCGGCGTATATAGGTGTCTCTCATAGTCTCACCTTTTGCTCAAGCACTTCGGCAGGGCCTTTCTGGAGTTGCTTCGAGCTATCGGACACAGCTCAGTCACTCTCTGCGATAGCTGGGCAGGTGGCCTGCCCGAAGCCTCCCTCATGCCCACCTTGCCCCGGCCTCCAGTGCGTGGAGGCCGTGGCTTGTCCAGACGCTCATTGCCCGGGGGTGGTGCTTACCTCCTGCGCGGCGCGCCGACCTATACTGCCCAGAGGTCATCATCCCGAGCTGCCCGCAGCAGTTCCCTTGCCCGTCTGGCGAGACGCCGGGCGCTCGGCCCTGGGAGGTGACCGTGCAACGTGGGTGCGGGCCAGGACGAACCCCCACAAATATATTAACCTGGGTTGATAGTTTTCCAGGATTGTTGACCAGGGTTCATAATGTCTCCCTTGGAACATTATGAACCTTGGCTTTAAGGTTCGGGTCATATTGATTGGGGTTCATAATGTTCCCCCCGGAACATTATAAACTTCTGTTTACACTGTTCCGGGCACATCGACCCCAAAGTGATATTAACTTGGTTTCATAGTGTTGTGGGAATATTGACTGGGGTTAATAATGTCTCGGGAATAACGAAACCCAGTTCATTATTCTGGAACGATAATAATGGAGGCTGAGGGGCGTCGCCTGAGCCACAGGCGGATATTCTGAATCCGGATTTATGTTTCCGGAATGATTATCATTATTGTTTTCCCTTAACCCCGCGCCTCCAAATTGGGATTCATTATATCATGTTAGAATTGTGACCTTAGTCCGTTATCTCTAGAACATCATAAGCTGGGTTTTGTAATGTTCTGGGAATGATCAACTCAGGCTCATCATTCCGGAATGATAATGATCCGGTGGAAGGGGGGGTGCCTGAGAAGGAGATTGGACTAGGATCAACCTTGGTTCATTTTTTCGGAGTGCCGACCCCAGATGCATTACTCTGGAATGAAAATGATCTGGGGAGGGGGCGGCCACCGATCCATCCACAGGCCAATAATCCAATGGGGGTATCATCTGAAGAGAATGAACCTAGGTTTATCATTCCTAGATAACAAACCACGATCGACGAGGACTTCGCGCCCACCCTCGTGCGGGCTCCCTGATGACTCTGATCGTGAAGAGGGCCGTGCGCCGTGGAGGCCGAGGTGCTCGCCCCGCGTGCGCCCAGGGTGCTGTCCGTGGCATGGTGGAGCTCCCCTCGACCGTTCACGTGCGACGAGTACCTCGTGCACGAACGCGCCATTCTCTGGCCAGTCTCCGCTGAAATATGGGTGCGCTTGATGACCGACGGTCTCGTCTATGATGAGGTGTTGGGGGGAGAGGACGTTGAGAATGTATTTGTTGTTAAGAGAAATGAGCGGCTGCCGGCGCGACTGACCCACCCAGCCTACCGTTTCGAGAAGGCCCTCTTTCGGGACGGCACAATACGCCGAGACTGCTACGCGGAGGCCCTCCGAGGCTGTCAGGCTCCGTGACGAGGAGGATGAGGACCTCGTGGAGTTTTCGAAGGTACCGACCTGGCAGGACTGGGTAGGAGAGGCTCGCGCTCAGGATCGGTGTCGACCCCCCTGCGGATCCTGTGCTTGTGCCTACTGGTGCCGCGGACGATGACGGGTCAGTGTGGCTGGTCGCTGCCGAGAGCCCAGGTCTGGCGGTTTGCGAGCAGGTCACGGGCGGCAAGCTGGTAGCCGTCTACAGATAGAAGGGGCTACATTGAATCACTGCTTCTGCCGGCGCCGAGGAGATGCTGTTCGTGGAGAAGGAGCGTGCTACTAGTGCCCCCGACTATGCGAGTCTCGTCGATCTATGTTGCAAGAGTGGGCTGTTGGTGCTCCGACCCCTCGCGACGACGCCGCTGCTGACACCAAAGGAGCGGCTGCCGCGGCTGATGGCGATGGTGCTCGTACCATGTCAGTCTTGTGCGATGAGCAGGGGAAGGGGGTGCGACAATGGCGTAGAGTGGCTGCCTCCTCATCAGAGAATTTTCACGAGGACTGGCCCACCGAGGGCTCCAGACCTTGTCAGTGGTCGTTGAGACATGTGGAGGGTGCTGGAGGGTCCCTGATGTAGTGGTATCATCGGTAGCTCGCTGAGTCCGAAGCTGCTGCGACGGATCGTACTACATATGAATTGCAAGTGACCTTCGGTGTTTTCGAATATGCCAGTTCTGATGATCACTTAATTCTCCCATCCCTGTCCTGCTTGGAGCCCTCGCTCGACGTTGGCAGCTGTTGCTTGGCGCCAACTCTAGGGGCCCTGGCGGCCCAGAGTTTAGGGGCGAGTTGTGGATGGGAGTTCAACAGAGGACTTCGGGCATTGCGCAGTCCCCACCCTTCCGCGTCGCCAAGGGGGCCAGGCCGAGATCGAGACGGCTCGGCAGAAAACATAGGAGGCGGCGAGTTGGCCGAGGAAAGGTCTTCCGCCTCCGAGAGGGGAATGGGCCTGCAGCCCCGCCATCTGTGTCCTCGAAGGCGGTGGGGGCTAAATGACCGATGCGACGCGGCTGTCCGCGCCAACGAATCTTTTGAGATATTGCAAGTTTATTTCCCCCCCCGCTCCCTGGTTGTTCATGTATATGATGTGGTTGGGAACGTCTCTGCAGGAGCAGTCGTCAACGCGCAGGGCGAGATCGGCGCGCTGGTTTGCGAGTTACTCCGTGTCCCTCAATAGTTCTGGGGCCCCGGACTACACGTACCCCCCGGACTACACGTACCCCTCCCCCGGACTACAGGCACCCACCCCCGGACTACAGGTACCCCCCCCGGACTACAAGTACCCCCCCCCGGACTACAGGTACCCCCCCCGGGCTACAGATACCCCCCTAGCCCCCGGAGCTGCAAGCCCCCCCCCGCGTTCGCTACGTAGTCTCTGGAAGCCAAAGCGGCCCGGCAAGATGCGTCCACACATTTTCACTTAGGCGTGCTAAGAAATTCGCCATCGCTGGCTGTGACCTAAGCCGACAGCGCAATCATGCAATATCTGGAATGTTGTCATTGTCATGATACAGAGTGTCTGTGCGTGCGCGCGTGTGCGTGCGTCTGTGCTTGCGCGTTCGTCTGTGTTTTTCCGTGCGGTTGCGTGCCCGCGTGCGCGCGCGCGTGTGAGTCTGCGCGTGCATGCGCGCGTGCGCGCGGGCGTGTCGTGTGCAACGATGCGCGTGAGGTCCCGCGCGCGTAAGTACTAAACACCCGCGTGCATGGAACCACGCGTGCTTTGAGGCATGACCAATTCCCCCCCCCCCCCCTGGACTACAAGTACCCCCATGCGCGCCCCCCCCGGACTACAGGTACCCCCTTCCGGGCCACAGATACCCCCCCCCGGACTACAAGTACCCCCCCCGGACTACAGGTACCCCCCCCCGGACTACAAGTACCCCCCCGGACTATAGGTACCCCCCCCGGACTACAGGTACCCCCAGAACTATTGAGGGACAGAGTAATCGTGTCGTGAAGTTTTTGAACTGGCTTGCCAGATGTGAGGGTTCTCCGACGGAGACCGTTACCGAAACTCACTCTCGAGCCCTGGACCTACTGAAGGCGGCGGCGGGGGAGAGCGCGCCCGCCGAGCTTGTGCCGCTGCCGCATGAAGCAGCCAATGAGTTTCTGCATGCCCGAGCAGGCTGCTGTTCGGGAGAGTCACCTGTGGGGCCGTTTGAGCCAAAGTTGGCTTGCCACCTGCTCGTTGTTCGCTCGTGTCCGTGCCCGTGGACTTTCTGGAGGGCCGTGGTCGGGAATCGTGGGTTGATTTCGAGGACCAGATCGTTGGATCGGATGCTGAGTGTTGGGGGATGGACGGCTGTGAAGGCCGTGTCGTGCCATGCCTGGATGTGCGTCTGAAGTCGGGCAGGTTTTTGTGCGCCACCTTCGTCTGGCAGCTCGTCGATGGGGGCGTGGTGCGGCGGTGCCGGCATGCTCGGGGGGGGCGCCATCTTCTGCGTCCAGAAGAAGGGCGGGCGCCGGCAGCTCATCGTTGACGCCCGCCGTGCCAATCGCCGCTTTCACGACCCCCCTGCCGCCAGCCGCGCCGCCTGCGAGTCTTGCGGCGAGCTGGAGGTGTGGGGCGACCTGTTGCTGCGCGCCGCCTCGACGGATGTGCAGGATTGCTTCTACAGGTTCAAGATGGACCAGGGCCTGAGCCGCTACTTCGGGTTGCCCTCGCTCAGGGCCTGCGACGTGGGCCGCGCCGGGGCGGAGCTGGAGGGCCTGCCCTTACTTCCCGATGAGCGGGTTCATTCCTGTTTGGCTGCCCACCCCGTGGTCTTCAAGGGGGGTCTGTGCGTTGTCCACGGCAAACTGGGGGCTGTTGGAGCTCGGCGGGGGCTGGGCGAAGGCGCGGCGGCCGAAGGATGAAGCGAACGAGCGGTTGATCGCAGCTGGCCCGACGCCTACCGGGCCCGTGGCTGGAGCGGGAACATTTTTGCAAACGGCGGGCGCTTCAGGTCGGCGGCGGCGAGGACGGGGTGGTCTTGCTGTAACGACTAACGCAATGCGTGGCCCCGCCCATGACCTAACCACGCGTGAGAACCAGAGGAGGATGATTGCCTGGTTGTCTGGCCCCATGTGCCGAGGTGCCCTGACTGTGTGCGCTTGTGTGACCTTCTCTCGTGCTAGGCGTGGTCGCCCCCTTCCCCTCCGCGCCCGACTTAAGTCCCGTGGGCCAGAAATAAGCGAGGGTAGGAAATCGCCTGGCCAGTTTCTCGCTCCGCGTTTTTGTGCTTTGTCGGGATGTGGGGGAACTGCCCCGGCTCTTTCTGGGTCTCCAAAGAGCACAGAAATTGCCCAACGCTGAGGCCCGGAACGCTCGCTTCCGCCAGTGGGGATGGAGCGGCGAACGGCTACGCGCTTCCTTATGCGCAATGCCTATAATCAAAGGTGACAGGCTCGAGCGAAAATGCTAGGGCCGCGGGATTTGCAGTAGAACGCTCGCTCCGCGCAGAGTGTTCGAGGGTAAAGCCCTCGACGGCCGCTGGTCGCTGGTCGCCAGGCACAATCCTCGTTCGCTCTGCGCGTCGCTCGCAAACATGTTCAAACTTTGCTATATCCTTTGCGTGCATGTCTTTCCCCATCGGTCTAGAGTTCAGGCCGTCGATGCTAATCGCTTCCGTGGGTTTTTGGGCTCAAGGAATTCGCATCCAGGCAGTGCGAATGGATTTCCTCTGGCCCGCCGCCCAATACGCGTGGCAGGGGGCTCTTGCATATCTCTGGGGCGGCAATTTGCAGCGCTGCCCTGCGATCACGATCCCGGCGTGCCCGGGGTTCCCTGGCTGCGCGGCCTGCCCGCCGTGCCCAGGTTGCCCGGCGTGCCCGGGAGGGCGGCCGGCGCCTGCCAACCCTGCGCCGCCGGTGGAGCAGGAGGCCGGGGCCGACACCGTGCCGTCCTCGTTCTGGCTGGTGGTGCTGGTGAACGAGCTGCTGTTCCTGGGCCTCGTCGCCTGGTACGTGTACGGCTCGTGGGGCGGCGCGTGGCTGGCCTGCAAGCGTCGTCATGATGGCGGGGGCGATCGTGGCCCCAGCAGTGGCAGCAGCGCCGGAGATGCAGCAGTGGGCGTGGGTTCGCTACGACGGCGAGCCATTATGGCACCAGCGGCTGATCTTGGGGCGTCGGGCGAGAGTGCCAGCTGAGGTCGTGTCGCCGTTCGTCGTGCTGATCTGCACCGTGGACACGGACATCTACGAGGAGGACTACACGTGCGACGGCAGCGACATCATCGCCGTGCGTTACGCCGGCGATCGGGCGACCTTCCCGCCCGGGATTCGGGGCGCGAGCTCACACCGCTTCAGGCGGGGCCTGACGATGCAGGAGCAGCAGCAGATCGACCAGGCGGCCTTGGACTACTGCAGGGCGGCGCTGGCGGCCGATCATCATCGCCTTCGACTGGGAGCGCCGGCGGGGCCCTTCCTCATCCCGTTGACCTTCGGTCAGGGCGGCCCGGCTGCCCCGGCGGAGGCAGGTGAAGTGGCGGCGGTGGTGGCCCCGGGCGCGCAGGCTGCTGCTCTGGTCGCCGCTGGTGGAGGACCTGGCGGTGCCGTCGGAGGAGCGGCCGCTGCCGGAGCAGGTGCTGCTGGCGGAGCCGCCGCTCCTGCGGCGGCGGGCGTAGCCGCTGCCGCCATGTGGGTGCTGGTCGAGTCGACGACTGCTGGTGCGCGCGGGACCGCCGTGGCTCCGCCCGCCGGATCGGTGCTGCGAGGGTCTGTCGGCCTCATGCCGCTGGCCGACGGCTCGTGGGTGGCGATCCGCTCGATCTCGGGATCGGCCCAGGAGTACGCCGGGCGAGAGGCCGCGTCGGACGCTCGTCTGATGGGGATCCTGCCGAACCCTGCTGTTCCAGGCGGGAGGCTGCTGCGGCAGTGGCGCGACGCCGTCGCCAGCTTCACCGAGGAGGCGTTCGTGGACTGGCACATCCCCGGTCCGCGGACTTGCCTGTGGTGCTGCAAGTTCATCGACCGTCGGCAGGGGGGGCCGCTGGACCACTTCAGATTCTGGAAGGCGACCCTCGGGCTGGCGGCCGACGACTACGGCGTGAACGACTACGAGGCCGGGATGCGCGCGATCTACACGCTGGCGTGCTGGGACGGCTTGGACCTGCCAAACATCGCGGGCGCCGAGCAGATCCTTCGGAAGTGTCAGATGTACGAGTACGTCTACGTGATGGACCGGGACCCCCACCACGGAGGCCACGGCGCCGGTGACGGCGGCGAGGCGGGCGAGAACAAGAAGACCGGCAAGAAGGGCCGTGGCCGTGGGGGCGGTAGTCACAGCTTGCTGAGTTTCGGGTTCATCGACGAGAGCGCTGTCTTCACCGGTCTCAGCCGAGACCGCGGGGAGAGCATGATCTGTCCCCTGCTCCTGGAGCATGTGGCGAAGGAGGTGGAGAGGGACGCTTCGGTGTTGAAGCAAGTACGCAAGGCCCGCGAAGAGCAGCGGGCCTTGCGAAAATGACGGGCGTACTACCACGCGGGCCGCTTCCCCCCGGCGGTCCGCGCGTTTCTGGAGGGGGGCCCAGCGGTGGTGGCCCGCCATTCGCTGGTGATGAGCACTTCAAGGGCATGCCTTGCGGTCGCCAACGTGATCTATTTCCACTGCCACGTCCTGATCAACAGCGTCAGGTCCGTTCAGAGGCGAACAGCTTCGCTTGCACACGTTCTGTGGCCCGTCGTGGTCTTCGGCGGGGTCATGCCGATGCTATGGTGAGCGAGGTGGTTAATACTCTCAACGAGCTGTACGTCGGCCAGCCCTGTCGCCACGGCGACCACTCGCAGCCTGTCTCTGCGGGTCAGCAGCGGGCCTTGGACAACGTTCGAGATGCTGTCCGACGGTTCGGTAAGCCCCCGGAGGGATTGACTGGCTCAGGAGCCCTTGAGGAGCTCCGAGTTCTCAGCGACTACGCCGGCGAGAGTGCCACGGTCGCTCCGTTCAGCTTTGATAACATCAACAGCCTCTCGCTCCCGGACGAGGGTTTCACGCCGGTGGCGCTGGACACGCTGGGAGGAGGAGCTGGCCGCAAGATAGTTGAACGGCTTCATGATATGATGCTGTCCCAGTCCGAGGGTCGGGCTCGGATTGAGTCCGACGGTCCTCGGAAGCTTTACATTGACCCGGCGCTCAGGAACCCCGAGCTGTACATCCAGCTGCTGCGGATCCTCGAGCGCCGGAACCTCATCGACTACTACGCTGACAAGGCGTGCAGCGTGGGTGTGTTCTTCGTTTATAAGAAGTCGGGGAAGCTGCGGCTCATCCTGGACGGCAGGCATGCGTCCCTGCACTTCCGGGCCCCCGACAAAGTGGCCCTTGCGTCTGGCGCCAGCTTCGCTGGCCTTCACGTGGACAGCGGGAAGCCCATCGCCGTGGCCGAGGTGGACCTGGCCGACGCCTTCTACACGATGCTGCTGCCGCCGGAGTTCCGACGGTACTTTGCGCTGCCGAGCTGCCGCGCGGGCCTGCTGGGGCTTGACTGCACCTCGGATGGGCGCCCTCTCAGCGGGGCGGACCTGGTCTACCCCTGCTTCCGGTGCCCGCCGATGGGCTGCTCCTTCAGCCTCTGGATCTGCCAGACGATGTTGGAGGCGACCGCGCTGCAGGTGCCCCAGCTGACCGTGGCCAACCGCTTCGTGGACAGGCGTCCTGTGCCGGGTGTCACCAGCGACGTGATCCACACCGAGTACGTGGACAACGCGCTGAGCCTCTCGACCGACCCGTCGGTGGCGTCCGCGGCGGCCGCTGCTGTCGACTCTCGGCTCCGGGCGGCTGGCCTACCAACCCACGGGGTCGAGTGCAGTTTCGGCGCTGCCGCGCTGGGCTGGCAGTTCGACGAGAAGTTCCCGATCATCGGACTGAACCCGGCGCTGCGGTGGAAGCTACGTCTGGCCTGCCTGGAGCTGTGCCGGAAGGGCTTCGCTTCGGGCAAGACGGTCTCGCGCGTGGTCTCACACTTTACATCGAGGGCGCTGATCCGGCGCGAGCTTCTGTCCTGTCTCAACTCGCTGTACGCTTTTTCTGCCCAGTATGGTGGCCGAACTGCTCGGCTCTGGCCCTCTTGCCTGCGCGAGCTCCGCTGGTGCGCCAGTCTGGTCGTGTTCTGCTTCCGAGACGCGGGTGCCGCGTTTGACAGCAGGCTCACGATGGTCGACGCATCGTGGTGGGGCGTGGGGGTCACTCAGAAAAACATCGTCGTCAGCTGTTGCGCTGGAGTTATCACGGTGCAACGAGAGGTGGAGATTCAGCAAGACTCAGGAGGGTGGCGTCTCACATCGGTCCCTCGCCCTAAAGGCTCAGAGCTCTGGAGACCCCTTCGTGCCCGAGTCGGTCGCAACCTTCGAGAATCCAGGGGGCTTCCAGGAGGTGATCACGGACTTGGAGGAGGATGAGGAGTTCGTCGTGTCGAGCTCCGCGTTCGAGGTGGAGGAGGTGACCCAGGTGGAGAATGAGGAGTTCCCGGAGATCCCAGAGGGCGTCTGGGCGGAGGGGTGGTACCCGGTCGTGTCGCACAGATGGTGTCGTTCGGAACCTCAAGTCGTTCTCGAAGGTCGTGGGATGGTGGTGGCTGTTCGGCATATCCTTCGGCGTCTCTCATCCTTCAACCGGTGCCATCTGTGCTTGGGCGATTGTTTGGGAACGATCCTGGCTGCCACCAAGGGGCGGTCTTCGCGCCCAGAGATGGGGCGCATCTGCCGGCAGCTGGCGGCCCTTTCGCTGGCTAGCGGCACTGCCTTCTTTTGGCGCTGGGTGCCTTCCGAGCGGAACTCCGCGGACCGCGCCTCCAGGAACCTGCCGGGCGTGGGCTATGCTTCGTCGACAGCAGATACCTGCTGCCCAGGTGCCAGTGGTGCTAGCCACGGCGCCCGCTCCGACGTCGGGCGGCCTCCTGGCGCGAGGCAGCCTGCCTTCGGGCCCCCGCCTGGCCTCGAGCAAGAGGCGAGCTGGGACCCCAGCGGGGCGGACTACTTCCTCGGCAGCGGCTTCGACATTGGGGCTGGCCCTGGCGGCCGAGCCGCTGGAGCGGACGGCCCGTGCGAAGCGTCGGCGGACCAGGCACCCAGAGGGCGTCCACTGGCGGGGACCCGGACAGCGGTCGTTCCTGGAGCAGAAGGCCGTGAACAACAGGACGACGCTGGACTACCAGGCCCGATACCACCGTTTCCTGACCTGGGCCGAGTCTGCGAGGCTCCCAGTGTCCACCATCCCAGAGCTGGAGGAGACGCTCCTGGAATACTTCAACGAGCTGTACTTCGAGGGCCACGACTCGCCGGACGGGTCGAAGCTGGCGGCCGCCGTGACCCACTTCCGGCTGGACCTGCTGCCGAAGCTGATCAACATGCCGCGCGTGCAGCGGGCGCTGAAGGGCTGGAAGTCCATGGCGCCCCCCCGGGCTCGCCTGCCCCTGCCCTGGCCGGTGGTGGCGTGGATGGCGGACTGGATGGTGACGAACGGGTTCGGGGCGGCGGCGACGGCAACCGTGCTGGCCTTCATCCTCTACCTGCGCCCCTCCGAGCTGCTGTCCCTGCGCGTGATCTCGGTCGTGCGGCCGGTGAAGAGCGGGCCCCGGCACCTGAGCAAGTACTCCATCCTCCTGTTCCCCGCCGAGCTCGAGGCGAGGTCGAAGACAAAGGACTACGACATCAGCCTGCTGCTGGACAACCCAGAGTTCGGCTGGATGGAGCAGGTGCTGGACCGACTGGTGCTGGGCCGACGCCCGGAGCAGCCGCTGTTCGCGCTGAGCATGAAGTCGTGGACCCGAGCGTTCAACCTCGCGTCCGCCGCCCTGGACCTGGAGATCCTGGGCCCCCCGGTGCTGTACCAACTGCGCCACGGCGGCGCAAGCCACGAGATGCTAACCAACGCTCGGGAGTTCGGGGACATCAAGAAAAGGGGGCGGTGGGAGTCCGACCGGAGTCTCAAACGTTATGCAAAGGGAGGCCGAGTCCAAGAGCAGCTCCAACGTCTACGACCAGTGCAGCAAGCTCAGGCCCTCGGCTGCGCCGCGACTATTGGCAACACCCTATGCAGAACTTGAGCTCGTGGGCCCACACCGCCAAGTCGAAGGTGTACCTGGAGATCTTCAGTGGCTCCGGGAACTGGTCGCGTGCCATGCGACACGGCCAGGCCTCTCGGCTGGCCCCACGTGTCTTCGAGCTGGACATGGAGCACGAGCCCGCCCTGGGCGACCTCTCCAGGCGCAGCGTGCAACGTGTTGTTCGGGGTTGGCTTCGTGGGCAGCTGCTCCAGGGTGTGTGGCTGGGCATGCCGTGCAGTTCCTGGTCCATGGCGCGGAATAGGCCCAACGGCCCCCCGGCCCTGCGTGATGGGAACCATCTGCTGGGACTCCCTGGGCGACTCGCTCAAGGTGATGCTGGGGAACAGGCTCGCGTGCTTCTCCTTCAGCTTCTTTCTGGAGTGCGCGCTGCGTGGGGTCCCAGCGGCGATCGAGAACCCGGCCACTTCGTGGGTGTGGCAGACCAAGTGGGCGGTACATGCCGCCAAGCAGACCAACGTGAAGGTGATCGACTTTGATTTCTGTGCTTTCGGCACGCAATGGAGAAAACGAACCAGAGTCATGTATGTGCACGTGAACCTAGACGCTCTGAGTAGTTGTAAGTGCAGTGGCCGTGGCTGTTGCTCTTTCTCGCAGGCGCCGCGCAAAGCCCTCGAGGGCAAGGCGCCGTCGGGCGCCTTCTGGACAAAGATTGCTGAACCATACCCTCCCAGATTGTCCAGTTTGCTTGCAAAGGCGTACTGTGAGTCTAGGCTCTGTTCCGTGCACCGTGCCTTGATGCGAATGACGGCCTGACGGCCAGGAGTATCTTTTGAAGTGAGATGCTTTGAGGTCGCTGGATTGTCTCTCTGGCGAGGCGTCCCTTTTGGACGCGTCGAGCAGCTGCGTCTTGGCTGGAGAGTGATCTGCGAACAGACAACGTCGAGAGGCTGGCCTGATAAAGAAGATCGGGTGGGGATATCCTTTGCGTGCATGTCTTTCCCCATCGGTCTAGAGTTCAGGCCGTCGATGCTAATCGCTTCCGTGGGTTTTTGGGCTCAACCCAGCCCGCCCACCCTTGAGCCTGTGTATAGATGCTTCCTGTTAGTCGCTCGAGAGGTCGCTGGATTGTCTCTCTGGCGAGGCGTCCCTTTTGGACGCGTCGAGCAGCTGCGTCTTGGCTGGAGAGTGATCTGCGAACAGACAACGTCGAGAGGCTGGCCTGATAAAGAAGATCGGGTGGGGAAAACAGTACACGCATGAAATCATTTTTTGTTGTTATGAGTCCGGGTGGGTTTCAGTCTCAGCTCGCCTTTGTCCAAACCTCACGCGAGCTGTAATGTGGCGAGGGCTGCTGCCAACTGCATTCCAGGCTTTGACGTCACTACAATCAGAACGGTTCGGCGTTTAACCTTAGCTCCCAACCCTCCCGTCCTTGATAGCGGGTGGCTTTCAGCCCCAGCTCGCTCTTGTCCAGACCTCACGCGACCTTTGGGTCCAAGTTAACTCCAGGCCTTGACTTCGCTACAGGTCTTGCTACTGAGTGGCATTTTTGTTTTTTCTTTGAGATGTTGGAGGGGTTCTGGCCTCCCGGGGGCTCTTCGGAGGGCTCCGAGAGGACTTCGAGCCGCTTTGAGTCTGTTTTGAGGCCTCTTGGATGCATGTCGGGGGCTATCTTGCGCCATCCGAGCTATCTTGAAACCACCTTGGGTTGTCTTGGGCGCCTCAACCCCCTGGCCCACCTTCGCTCAGACCCATGGCTCCCCGGACAAGGGAAAAGAGAACTTTGAAAAAGAAACTGCACGAGACCATCTGCGCCCAGAGGGCAGATGAAACTAGTGGCCGGGGTTCGCCGCGGCCATAAACAGTTTCTTTGCTTCTTATCTGGCGCTTCCTCATGGTAGCACAATGAATTCAATCAAGCGCGCATCTTGGAAAGGCTGTCCCCGGGGAAGGTGGCAGGGGAAAGTGAGGATCGAGGATCGATGATTTGATTATTCATTTTTCTCTTCCGGGAGGTTCCTCCTGGCTAACTCTCTTGGACCTTGGAGGGTGCAGATGGGGAGGAAACAAATGCGGGGAGGAGGATGAAAGGACCTGAAGGAGGGGGGATGAAGAGGGAGGTGATGAGGGAGGGGAGGGGTGAGGGGGGATGAGGATGATGGGGGATGAGGGCGATAGGGGGTGAGGAGGGAGGGGGGTGGGGAGGAGGAGGGTGGAGGAGGGGGGGGGAGGAGGGAGGAGTGGGAGGGGAAAAGGATGGGGAGGAGGGAATCGGGACGGGAGATGAGGAGGGTGAGGAGTGAGGGGGAGGGGAGATCAGGAGGGGGAGGAAGGAGGAAGGTATGGGGGGGGGAAGGGGGGTCAGGGACGGGGAGGAGGGACGGGGAGGCCCGCGAACCCGCGATGTCGTTGCGCTCGCCGCGAGGCACCACGCCTTCCAGCAGGAGTCGCAGGCCTCCGCGCCAGCCAGGGTGCCTCCGTTTCCCCTTCCTGCTACTTTCCCTCACTCCAACTCCACCCCCCCTAAGCGTTGCCATAGGCTATCATGGGGCCCCGCCAGCTGTAGTATACCAAATGCGAAAGGTTCTGCGTGGCGCTTGGTGCACACCGGGATCGACAACGTCGGCACTGCTGACATCATATATGCAAGTGCCTATTTTCGAGGACCCACTGATCGCGTGTTAGGTGCAGCCGATAAGGCAGTGGGCCCTTCTCGCTAGAGACAGCATGCGTGGCCTAGGCAGCATGCGTGGCCTAGGCAGGTATTCCGTGTGCTGTCGACTCACTATCCATAGTCTCGAGCGGCTGGGACTATCAGTGCTATGATATTTTCACTTCGGGATCTGGGGTGGAGATCGGTTTCAGCTGTCGTGTTTATGACGAATGTGAGATTTGACGCTCCTACCGTCGTTCGGGACCTTGCGCGTGCGTCTGGGGTACGACGTATGTGGGAGTCTTAGGCGAAACGCATAATCTTGCTGATGAAGGATATGTGTCTCAAGAAGCCTTGAAGATACTGGATGGACCCCGTCACTGGTATACTGCGAGGTGCCCCGTTGGGGCCCGAAGAGGTCCCTACTGACGACGACGAGAATGACGTGAATGACTCTAGCTCTTGGGATATGACGATGACCGACGCTGCCGTGCTACGTGCCATTGTCACTGGAGATTTCTGGACCCCCAGCAAGCTTTATAGGCATGGGTGTGTGCGCACTTCTTGCTGTCATGCGTGTGACTGTGAATCTTGTGACACACGCCATGTGGTCGGGGGATGCCCTGGACGGGATCAGAATGAGGACGGATTTGCTCAGCAGCACAGACATGAGAGTTTTCAGCTCGCGCTGGAGGCTCCTGTTTCTGGAATCGTGGTTTGTCTGCGCGCTCGTGCTTCTCAACTGGACCTAGAAGAGATGATTCCCAGCGGTGGAAAATCCAGTACGGGACCCTGGACATCGTCACGGGGGGCATCTTCACCGACGGGGCGTGTCGTAAGTTCTGCCTCTGGCCTGAAGCCACACGGGCAGAATGGGGTTTCATAACATTGATATCACCATCCGTTTGATGGTTTACGGGGCCCTGACAGGGCCCATTCAGAGTTCATCCAGGGTTGAGTTGTTTGCGTTTTTTCAGGTCCTAAATGTGTGTATCTTGCCGATACGTGTACGTACTGACTACCGAGGTATCCTGGACGGGCTTGCCATGGGATCTGCTTTGTCCTGTGGGCCTCGGAGGCCCATCTCGGACCTTTGGGATGCGATCTGGAGAAAAATCAACGACTTGGGAGGCCGTGGAGAGGCCTTGCGAGTCTCGCACGTTCGGGGTCACCAGAAGGGGAGACTGGTATACTGCACGTGCTGATCGGGGGGCCGACATGGCCGCCAGGTCTGGTAGATCTTCTATAGGCTCACGCCACATCCGCCGACCCCTAAACTAGTATGCCTCCAGGACTGCATTTCACGAGGCTTGTCCGAATCATGACATGGCGCTCGACATCGTTCCTGTTGCTTCGTTGCTGTTATCGTACCTCTTGGTGCTCTTTTGTGGCCTTCTGGTGGCATCTTGCCCTGTCTGCAGGCCATATCCGGTCACCTCGAGCCATCTTGGGCCAAGTTTTGGGGCCTCTTGGGGGCTTCCTGGGGGCTTCTTGGCGGCCTTTGAGGTTCTCTTGGGGGTCCCTCAGGGCCTCTTGGGGTGTTCTTGGGGCAGGCTGGGGGCGTCTTGGGGCCGAAGGGTCGAAAAGGTGCCCTCTGGACTCCGTCTTGGAGCCGTCTGGGGGCCCTCTTGGGCTGTCTTGGGGGTTTCGTGGGCTGTTGTTGGACCCTGTTCGACCCTTCTTGGGGGCCCCTTTGGCCGTCTGGGGGCGATATTGAAGGTTTCTTTGCCCATCTGGGACGTTGTGAAAACCGAATAGGCGATCATGCGAAACATGTTGGTTTTGCTGAGGGAATGGGATGAGTTTTGTTTCTTGGGACCCTCTTGGGGCGCATCTTGGGGGCCTTTTGGGGCGTCTTTGCAGCTTCGGAGGCCGCCTGGAGGCCATCGTGGGCGTCCAGGGGCGATATTTCGGCGAATCGTGGCCCCCTGGGACCGTCTGGGGAGCGTTTTGGTGCCTTCTTGGCCAGTTTTGGAGCCCTCCACTCCCCCGTGGCGCGTTCGGTCTGGGGTCGCGCTGGGCCAGGGGGGGTGGTCAAATTGCCAGTTTGGGGTCCCTGGGGGGGAATATGGGGGGGATAATCTCACATGCCTAGAGACCCACAAGGGGGCGGCGGATTTGCACGTCACCACTAAAGCTCAGAACGCGGCCATGAAGATTGGCTTGGAACCTGCTAGGCAGATTTTGAGGTAGATGGTGGCTGCACGCCAACATCATGTGTCCTTGGGTTGAACGGAAGCGCACCGTCGGCTTACGAACACCACGAAACAAAAGGCGCAGAGACCCAATGCAATGCCTGAAGCCAACACCGAGCTCAGATATGTGTTTCAACAGCTTCCTGGTCGCCGTCTGTGGCAATGTTGTTACTGCAAGAGGGGAGTCAGCACAGAGGAGAGTCGTGATCTCCTGAGTCGTATGACGTGTGGAGCACGTCGTCATTTCCATGGGGGTCATGGTGCTGTCAGTGCTCCTGGCGTTCCTGCCCCCCCCTTCTGAGTCTCAGGCCTCGGTGAATGACAGTAGGGGGAGTCGCCCCATGCGTTCAGCCTCGTCTGGCACCGAGGACGACCGCCACGGTGACGTCCCCAAGGACCTGTCAGTCCCTCTGGCCTCGCCTTCGGATCCTGGACCTTGGGGAACAGGGAGAATCGAAAGCACTGTGCCGATGAGGGCCCTAGTGGTGTTCGGAACGTGATGGCCAAGTGAACATCCAATCTCGTGCGTCCAAGGGACGAAGAGTTTAACTAGTGCAGGCCGGTCTGACCTAACGTTGCGTTTTCTGCCGTTGTTACGGCCGCGCCAGGTGACACCGGCAGTGTGAATCGGGCTGCTCAGCAGATTGTTGATGCCTCGTCCGATGATGAAGAGG